AAAAGACATTAAATTCGAATGGTCGGAAGAATGTCAAAAAGCTTTTAATTCATTAAAACAAGCATTAGGTTCTGAACCAATATTAAAATATCCAGATTTTACGAAACCATTTATTTTAACAACTGACGCGAGTAATAAAGCATTAGGGGCAATATTATCGCAAGGAGAGATAGGAAAAGATTTACCTATAGCTTATGCTTCATGAACTTTGAATAAAAGTGAAAATAATTACAGTACAACAGAATTAGAATGCTTAGCCATTATTTTCGGTGTAAAACAATTTAGACCATACTTAAATGGGAGAAAGTTCATAATATTAAGTGATCATAAACCATTGACGTGGTTATTTAATTTAAAAAATCCGTTATCAAAATTGGCCCGATGGCGTATACAGTTAGAGGAATACGATTATGAGATTAAATATAAACCGGGAGTGCAAAATTTAAACGTAGACGCATTGAGCAGATTAAAAATGTAAAAGAAACAATAGGAAATTTATTAGACGTACCTGTTGATTATCATTTAGTATCAGAAATCGCTAAACAATATAGTTTTACGGAAGGAATGAATAAAATATTAAAACAGAGATTTTGAAAAAATCAAATGTTAACACCGAGTAAAATAATAGGTGATATAAAATATTATAAAATAGATAACCGATATGTAATGTTTTTAATAACTAAAAATAAAGATAAACAATTATCAACGTATGAAACAGTGGCGGATCTAGTATTTTTTCAAGGTGTGCTAAGCAAAACAAAAACGAAGAACAGATAAGCAACTGGACGTGTCACAGTGTATGGTGCATAAATCTACAACAATAATAATAATAAGTTGCATAATAATAATCGGATATTTCAGACATTCTGTACACTCGATCGAACGAAATTTATTTAAATGCTCACGCACGCGCTCACACGCTCGCCATGGGCGACGCACAAATATGCTCTTGCGCTTTTACAGAACAAAAATAATGTTCTTCATACTCTGCAGCTGTTATTGTTGCATGGTTATGTTTGATTATCAACATATGGAATAAGAATAGAAGAAATATTAATTTATATTTAATTTAACGTAAGTTAAATTTTCAGGTAAATGTGCATTCATTTTTTTTCGCGGGCCTTAAGCGATCACCACTGAACTATACGACTACCAAAAAGTTCAGTGATATCTAAATATTGTCCCCTTTACCATCACCCATAAAACATATGTTTGTACATCCATTAGAGTTATTTAAATATTAAATTCCTATCTCTTTTTTCTAGGGATGGAAAATGTTTTTAAAAAACGTTATTAAACGAAAAAAAATGAAAAACGAAAACTATTAAAAAAATGAAAACGAAAAAAATATTATTGTTACGTGCCACCGGCTCGATTTCAAGTAGTGCAGTTGACGATGAATTTAAATTTAATTAATCAAACATAAGACTTTAACTTAAACGTTTATTTCAACTTTCAAAGTGTTATAACATAAATTATAACATAGAGTGACGTGAAGTAGCTTGCTTTTCCGTGACTAGAACTCATCTGAATTGTGGTCATTTCGATCCCTCTTTTATATTGATCGATTGACGTCATAGGACTTGTTGTATAGCAGTATTCAGCGATAGACCTCGTTCCCAATATAGTATTCTAGGAAAATAGATTAATTTTCGTCGCACTTTCCAATTATTATTAAATATTACAATATGCCGTCTTACGCAATACATATAATATTGTAATATTGTGTTGCACCTGTTTCTATTTATGCATGATTAGGCCATGCATGGTAGTCCATAACACCTCCCCACTAAAAAAAAGGTTTCGGTCTGCAAGACAGAAATATTTTACAATATCCAAGCTTAAGTTTTACAAATCCTTTACAACATCCTTCTAGTTTTTAAGTTTTACAAATTTTGGTTAACAATACATAACAATTTATATATATGTTTTACATTGAACATTTAATAAATATTAACATTTTTTTTTTTTTATAACACTTTGAATAATTTTCTTAATTCTAAAAACTGAATACAATTTAATCATTACTTTTGTTAGTGATTTATAATTTGTTTTCAAACATGCAAACTTTTACAATGTAATATACTTAATTATTAATGTTAGTATTACCCATTTACCAAATACAAACATTTTTTTTTTCACTCGAACTATTACCAATATTACCATTAAAATATTTTATCATTCCCACAAAACTTAAACTTATTGAATTATTATTTCAACTACAAAATATTACTGTAATTAATTGCGATTAATTATTAAATATTTTTTCATTGTAATTGTAGAAATCAAATTGTTATTGCCCAGGATATCCAGTTATTTTCATAACTATGCATTTTCCCAAGTAATGGTGTTACAATTTAATTATCCTCAACTCAACTTAAAAATAAAAATTAATTATTCTTACAATTATCGTATCAAGTGATTATTACTTATATGCAGATAAACTCCCTCTTCTCTCACTTCTAATTTTTCCCTTTCTTCTATAGTTCCTAACTCGTAATCCTCTAAATCCCTTTTTGATAGCTTATATACTTTAGGTTCCTCTGCAATTAATCTATTTTTATTACATTCTATTTTATACTTAATATTTACATACATAATTATTAATAAAACCATTGATAATACTCCCAAAATTAAAGTTACATATATTAAATTAGAATGTATCTCTTTAAATAGTTTTATTTATTCCTAAATGTCCTTCCAATCTTAAATCATGAAATTGTTTTAAAATTTTTAACTTCTCTTCCTCAGTACATTCTACTTCCGTATATATTAGAATTTCTATATCGGTTTTCCGAAATATATATCGTATTATTGACCTAATTTTTCTCATTCTAAGTTATCCGACTGACCTAATTTATTCATTGCTAATTTACTGATATTATTTTCCTCGCAAAATTGTTTCAAGTTCACTAATGTTACGTATATATTTTCATACCAGTGGCGGATTTAACGGGAAAAAAATGGACATTTGCCGTCTGGGCCCCTACCCGTAAAGGCTCTCAGGCCCCAGACCCAGTCTTCAGTTCACTAATTTTCATTTCAATAAAAAAATTAAAATAGAACAGAAATTGACCAAGATTTTGAATATTTTTTTCGATACTGTAAAAACGTTGTTCGATTTAGACGTAGTCACCGAGAAAATTTACAAAATTATAAATTTATTTGACTAAATTAATTTCCCATCATAAATGTTCAAAAGTTTGAGTAAACCTAGCTGGGTGATACGTTTAAAAGCTATGAAAGCTTTAATTCAAAATTTCGAGTGCATTGTAGATCGCCTAGAAAATGAGATATCAAGAATTTGAGCATCTAGAGATGATATTAGGCTGCTCAGACATTGTTATCATCAAGTAATTGGTTATTTTTTTTTAATTTGTTATGGTTGCATTCAATGCTTGATATATCAAGCAACTAATAATTTAAATAATTTTTTTTGATATATAAATTCTGGACAGTTACAATTACAAAAAAAAAAAGAAATTGATTTGATAATTGCCCAAAATTGTATTTCAACAGCATTACAAAATTAAAAAATCCCAAAAATGAAAAATCTTACAATAATTTCATGGTAAAAGCAAAAACAAATTGGAAAAAAATGGGTTTGGATCATGCTGACTTTCCAACATTGAGAAATCGGTGAATTAAGAAAATGCCTGGTGAAAAAGCTACTGATTCTTCTTTGGAAACGTTTGATAAACATATTTATTATGAAGTTTTTGATATAATGTGCAGTAATACGAATTTTTTGGGTTTTTGATTCCTGAAAATTTACAAAAACTGATAGAAGGTGATTTAGATATCAGTGTTGGTAGTATTTTGATTGAGAAATAGGCTGATTTTTTTACAACTGATATGAAATATGAGTTAATAAGTTTTATTGATTTATATGTTTCTTAAAATAACGATTTTATTAACAACAGTCCACTGAATAACTTAAAATTGATCATTGATAAACATTTGATAGACAGTTTTCCAAAGTTTAGCAGTCTCTTAAGATTATTTCTTACACTCTCTATTAGTACGACAAGTGCTGAATAAGTAATGAGTTCTTTAAAAAAAATTTAAAAAGAATCAAAATAAAACATCGTTATGCCACTTTAAGTGAAAAAACATTAAATGAATTCAGTATATTTTTATCAAAATATCGGTGGCAAATAAAATAAATCCAGACACAACTATTGAAATATTTGGTGAAGCCAGAAGACAATTTACAATTGCTTGAATTAAGTACCGAATTACATTAGTAAGATACTATGTGTTTAACAGTATACATTTTTTTTGTTTAAATTTAATGATAATTTTGATAAGGTTATTTAGAAATAATATATCCAGTTTGGACATTTAAATAAATGTATATATATTTTTTTTTTTTTTGATTAAATACCTATCTAGTTTAACAGTATTTTAAGAAGGAAGTCACAAGTTAGTATTTATGACGATTCATAATTCTTGGACCATTTATATCGTATGTCGTCTGGACTTTTTTCCTTAAATCCGTCACTGTGGATGACATAAGTGTAAAGTCCTGAATCGGGCGATCTTTAGGTGACTACAACAATAATATTAACTACTTCGATTGACTGAATTATTTCATTGATCTTTATTTATGTGTTATTTACAAATAACATAAAAAAAAAGAAAAAGTCATAACACACTCAACCGAAAATTACCTAACTACTGACGTTTTCATCATCATCAGCTTACGTGCACAAAGTTACTTCTAGAATACTTGTATTAGATATAATATCAACTATAAGAATTCGTATATAAAAATAAAAAAAATGTTGGTATATAAATCCTCCCCGGCTCTGTATACATATTATGACGTATCGTTCGATTACCTGCTGTACAACACAACAAACGATACATTGAGCAGAAATGAAGTAGGGTGCAGGAACCGTCGTCATATTATCCCCACCCGAACACACAGTCTGTTGTGAGTACGATCCGAGAACGTAACATCGGGGCGTGTACTGAAACACTTGTCATATATCATCCCGTGAGGCTCGTACAAAGACCGTCATCATTTTAAACCGACTTTTCTTCAAGTATTTTAACCACAACGAATAAAGTGAGTATATTTTGAAATTTTACTTATTCTTTTTCATGTAGTTGATTTTTAATAAACCGGGAATTCCGAGGCACTAACTCAATCAGTTTCTGAGGGTGGGTGAAAAGTATTTTAGTATTTTATTTCCAATTTCATTTTTAGCAAGTACGATTTCCTTTACTAACGAACATTAACGGTTTAAATACTTAGTTTAGTATTTAACTTTATTAAATGTATTAAAAAAATTTTCATTTGTACACCTTAAATGGTAATATTGACAAATGCTATTATAGTTATGTATCCGTGCAGAAGTTATAATTTTATCATTTATAACTGTATTAATTCCAATACGTATTACTTTCCTATAGTATTGAATCCCAGATACGTAGCAAAACTAATCCAAAGTCATACATAATAAATGATAACAATATTATACCTACTTCTTAGTCCGAATTTACTAAATATATTCAATTCGCTGTCGAAATAATTTGATATTGTGCATGAGTCGAGAGCTGTGCGATAGCAAACAAGCATTCACCACCAGTGCCATCACAAGCTCTTGCGAGGCCCTAGGCGAAATCAATACAATTTCTTTACACCAAAATATATTAGACTACTCGTATTCTAAATTAAAAAATGTTAGGTCTCCAAATTTATTTTAAGTGCTTAGTCAACTGTCTAAGTTACCTGCCCGCTAACGACGGGACTGTTTAATACGTCTTAAACACGTAATGAACTCTCAAGTTTTAGGTGTGGTGAATGCTTGGTTGCCTTTCGTTCAGATTTTGATGACATTCTTCTGTCACATATTGTACATGTGTATGCATTCGTTAAGTGATATAAAATAAGTAAAAATATACATTATACATACCAATGTAACTGTATTTATTAAAATAACGATACGTACACACACACACGCACGCACGCACGCACATACATATATAAATAGTATGCTAGAAAAAAATCTGAAATATTTATGCATACACAATATATTAATTATCAAATAATTAGGGTTTAATTTATTTTTTAAACATTCCGATCTGTATTTATTTAGTACTTTTCATATGGATGATCTTAATTTATTTTATAGTGTATTAAATCCCAAATATTTTATGTTGCCGAAGGACTAACGATAATAAATAAATTTTGGAAAAATTGTTACCTTTTCGAACGGCCATATTAAATATTAATAATCAATTAACGGAAATATATTATTCAAGTATACCTTAGGGATGGGAAAAATGAATCATTCAACTGATTCGAATCAATCGATTCAATTAATTGATTTGGTAAAATTAATCGTTTATCGAATTAATTTGATTCATCAACATTAATACAAAACTGTCTAAATTACAAGTAGTTTAAAACTAAAAAAGTAATAACATTTACAATAAATATATTAAATTAATTAACAAAATACAAAAATTGCTATAAATGTAACTTAAATAATTGTTATGTGTTATTACTTTAGTATACGAACAAGTCATTGATTATTATCTAGTATAAATTATAAATTTATTGAAAAAAACGTATTTAACGAATTTTTTTTTTTTAAGATCCAAACCACTATCAAAATCATGTCGTTCCCAAAAATGTAAGTAATTAAAATTAAACTATTATAATTAATAAAGTTAATTGTACAAACAATTTTTAAAACTATAAAATAAATGAAAACTTGATTGTGAAAATTAATTTCTCGTATATTTTATGAGTTGGTTAAAGTGGCCCTCATCAAAAGTCTATGATTACATTTCGGTTCACAAATGTAAAATAGTATTTGTAACGAAATTATTATATTAAAATTATGGAAAGAAACAAGATATTTTATATTTTACTGATAATTAATTGGTCCGGACACTTAAAGTTCCAGGTTAAAGGCAATTTTTTCGCTTACTATAAGTGTTCATTTATTGTAACAATTTCAATAAACATACTTTAATTCATTGGGCCTCAATTTCAACTTAATTATAGATTTCATTTTTTTTATTGTTTCTTATTGTATTATTAATTTGATGAGAAATAATAGAAATGAAAACTGTCTTCTCTACAGTCCAGTTTATGATCAATTTTTCAGATATTTTAATGCGATACATAAATAACTATTTAGATACTTATGTAAATATTAAAAAACTGCAATCAAGTGGAATGAATTTTTAGTTCTTGTATTCATATTATTTTAATTATTTTTTATTTCAGGGTTTGCATGTTGTTAATATGGAATATTTTTGATAACATCGAAACCTCATCAATCATCAATAATCAAGAGGAATCTCCAGATTGGCTACTAAGTAAGACAATATTAATTCAGTTTATTCATACTTTACACAGACTGTTTGAATTATGTTTAAATAAAAAAAAAAAAAATATTCATAATCTTAATTATAACACTTAGAAATAAAATATATTTACTTTAATAACTGACATGTTAAACAATTTTATAAGAGCATAACTTTTAAGTTTATTATATACATATTTACCTACTTATTTTATGCAGTTATTTGTAATTAACGAAGCTATAAATAGACGTATTCTTATAACTACACTTAATTTTTTTTAAATAGCTTTTGAAAAATGTCTATTTATATCTTTAAAATATTTTCATTGCAAATTGAACAACAACAAAAAAATTTGTAATGGTTCTATTGTATGTTTTAGATTGGGATACAGAGATCCGAGTGTGTGGACCAAGTTTTTACCATTTAATGGGAAATTTATGCAACACTACTAATATCGAATTAGGTAAATTTAATATATTTCGTAGTATTTTTAATGTTAAAAAACTATAAAAATAAATATAATTAATATAAATTGAATAGTTATTTTTTATGATGGCATCCAGAAAATTACTATGCATCATTATTCGAAATTAAAAGTTGAGCTCGTGTTACAAAAAATGTGTACAGCTCGAGTGTAGTAAATGGTGGAGGTGACTTATTATAACTCTATATTTTAAAATATTTATCAGCATCCCATTTAGACACGATTATAGGTAGGCATTTGATTGATAAGTTATGCTTACCACAGGTATCTACGATCGTTCATATTTTGTAGTTTTTATGTATAATTGTAGAACAGTATATAAATTTCAAATATAATTTGAAACCGCAATGTTGTATCATTTTTATTTTTTGTTATAGATTATAAAGAAATGATAGTGGAAGTTCACACTCTAGCCACTAAGTGCTGCAAAATGTCCTGTCTATTTATGGATATCAAAGGACTATGTATAGATTCGAAGTAACATTATTTTTAAATAACTTTTTATCTTAAAGGTCAAAAATATGAATAATTAAATAATTAAATATGAATATGAATAATTATGTCAAATGCTAATAAATATAGAATGCAACTATATTATGTTCATGTACTAGCATAATATTTATGAACTTAACACGAGAATTTTTTATTAACATTTCCAGACACTAAGTTAAGTAATAATTAATTCTACTTTTTTATAATAAATGTTTTTCTTATTAATTTAAATTTTTGAGTACCTACTTAATAAAATGCGATACTATTTGAAATCAACTGAGCATAATACTGAAATCGATTTTTTTTCTGGGGAAATTTGTTTATTATTAGAAAATGAAATGTTCTAAATTTTCAGTTTTCGAGTATCTTATAATTTTATAAATTAAACTATCAATTTCATTTTATTTTAACTGGAACTGGAAGTTTTAATTAAAAATTCTTATTAAAGACACAATTACATTTTACAGTCTCAATGACAACTATTTACGTATTCCTAAAAACATTACCAAATCGGTAGAGCCCAATGACACAATGCCTATAGAGTCAGTAACGATTTCAATATCTGATCAAAAGAAATTCATATCGAGTAAGTTATCAAATAAATTAAATTAAATTAAATTAATTAAATTTGTAAATTTTTCTTTAACTGCACAAACATTGCAATAGAGCGTTTTATAGTCAATGGGATCACCTACCTACTTTATGATCTTAAATTATAGGTGATTTGTAGTGATAATATTACGTATTATAGCGGCGCGTTAGGGTAGACGATAAAACATTGTCTACCCAAAAATATTAAATAATTAAATTTTAAAAATTAGTTGTTTATTACATGCTACTATGCTACCATAAGTATTTTAGTTCTTCATAATTTTATAAATAAAATCTCGTTTACTTTGATTCGTCTCTACAGTGTTTGTGTGATTAACGAGTATGAGTATACAAATATTTTATATAATATATTTATAATATATTATACTAGGGACTGGTACCTCTAAGTTTTTACGGTTCCGGTTCTCAAATATTTTATTAAAAGGTTTTGGTTCAGATTATTGATTAATTGGTTAAATTTAATTATACAATTATTGAATTCCACCATAAAACACAATTTGATTTGACATTATTTTCTAATTACTATATCATTTTATTTTTTCAGCGGCATTGGATAAAATACTACAAGTGTTTTTGTAATGGAATGGAACGTTCTTTCTCATTAAATTTGCTGAAATCAACTTTTTTTTTAAGTTTTTTATTTTTGTAACTTGCATTTTATTTTTAGCTTAGTTCAAATTTATTAATTTTTTTTTATACATTTAATTAATGATTAATGATTTTTTACTTAATATTTTTATTTTTAATTTACTTACACTATCTTAAAGTAATAATATTAACTTTTAATTATAAAATAAACATTCATTTTTTAATATTTATCCACTTTTGTTGTTATTTATTCATAATTTTAACATAAGACTATAAATTATATTATTAGCGTTTCATCTACATCAAATTTAGATTTTAGTTTGATATTGAAATTTACTCGTTCATTTACTATTTTGTATAATAAAAAATGATTAGTTTGAAGAAAAATAAATGTTTTAGTTTGAAATAATGGGATTGTGAAAATATTAAGTAATACAGAGGAGTGGTATGAATTTAAATCTAATATATTATTAATAGAAGAAAGTAAATTAATGGGTATTTTTGCAATAAAGATATTTAAGATCAGATTTTTTTATTAGATGAAGACCAATAAGTAGATTTAGATGGAGAAAGTATATTAAAATTAATTATATTGATAAAAATATGCAAAACGATGCCACAATGTTTAATTGCCCCAAGCGTGATGCTTCGCATTAAAGTCCCCTCCTATAATAAAATTATTTTTAATTATATTAAAGAATTCAGTAAAGATAATATTCATAATATTGTATCAAGGAGAGGAATAAAAGGCAAATGATTTCATTTAAAATTTGGAATAATAATAATAATAATAATAATATAATAATCAACTTTTATTTAATAAACTTTTCAAATATAAATCCACTGAAACAATAAGTCTAATAAAAAACTAAATCAATCAACTGAAGTAAATACATACTATTAAATACTATTAAAAATTATTTTAACATTCATTAGAAAATACAGTAAAATACTGTTTATAAATATTTCACTCAAATAAACCAAAATGTAGTTTTGCTTTACTTAAATTATTTATAATTTACATTTATCCTCAAATTACTTATGAAATACTAAAAAAAAAAAAAATCAATTGAAAGGTAACAACAAATTGTTTGAGCCAATTAACAACTCTGATGTAACAAACTAAAATTAGGTATACAAAATAAAACAAAACTTATGACAAACCTGCAAAACTTATAGGTTAACAAAATTATGAACATTAAAATTAAGGTAAATAAAAATTGATGTTGTAAAATAATACTTAATTAAAAATTACAATAAACATTAAACTAAAAATTCAAGGTATAAACAATTTTTTTTTTTTTTTGTAATTTTATGCATAGCATTAAAAATTAAACTATGAACAGTAATTGATTGCTTGAAAAATTCAAACAAAATAAGGAAAAATACTTATTTAATAATTATACATACATATTAATATGCATATATTTTTTATTAGATAAGTTATTTAATGTGGAATATTTGTATTTTTAATGAACATAAACAAAATTAAATTATTAATCAAATTGAAAAGTGCATACTATGAAAAAAAAATGTATTCATTTATTTTTCCTTAATAGACTAAAAGGTAAATGTAAGACGAAATGTAAGCTTCTTAAATATAATTCATAACTTAATAATATTAACTACAATAATATTTACATTACTGTATTTAACTTATTAAAACAAACATATATTGATCTAACTATATTTTACACTACAAAAACTAGTGATAAAATATAATTCGTTAATATATGTTATGTAACAACATATGGTTAAAAATCATACACAACCTATAACAAAATCTTAGGGTTTTCCCATGGAAAAATGTCACGGCCGAAATGTCCATAAGTGCTTGTCTTTTGATAAATCGGGTTTTTGAGATCTAAATCCCTAAAAAATGTAGAATAATCTATTATACATAATCAACAGTAAAAAATTGAAATATAAATTAAATACAATTAAAGTTTTTCCTTATTTCTTTGTAATAAATAATAAAATATATTTTCTTATTAGGTAGCAGTACATTTTTTAATATTTTATAATTTATCAATTTAAAAAAGCAATTTATGTATTCATTTAAATTAATTGTCAACAAATAATGTAGTTTGAAAAAATGAAATTATATTTTGTCATTTTTATATACAAACTACTTCCCCATCAATTTATTTTCGAGTACAACTTAGAGTAAATATTCTTTAAAATATTGACAAAAGTAAATATAAATAAAATAAAAACTATTATGATTACCAAGAAGTCTACACAGATGTTTTCAAGACACAAGACAAAGTAGGAATCTCAATGATACTTAAAAACAAAAATATATTATTGAAGTTACCTAATACATGCTCTATAGATACGGCCATGGCCATTGCGATACTTGAGGAAATCAAAATAGTTATAGAAGATGAACACCCTAACCATATAATATTCAGGAACTCCCTGGGTACAATCAACAACGTAAAAAATTAGTTCAAACCAGGAGATATCGCAATAAAAATACTAAATAAATTAAACTAAGTCCTATCCAAAAACAAATAAATAATACTCATATGGATCATCCCTAGTCACTCTGGCATTGAAGGAAATGAACTAGCCGACAAACAAACTAAGATCACCGCTACAAATTCCAAAGTTACGACTATACAGGAACCCTCCTATAACGACCTTAAAAGCACATTAACAATATAACCAATACCAAATGGCTTAATACATGGAAACACCAATCCACCAAATTCTGTTAAAATCAACAGGTTTCTACAATTTAATCTAATATTATGTAACTATTTCCTGTTACCATACCAATTACACTAAATGTTAAACTATACATAAAAAAATCTTGTAATTATAAATAAGTTGTTATTTTAAATAAAAGATCAATAAAAAATAAAAATATATAATATAAATATGAAATTAAACCAAGGGTTACTTAGACAATGTAATATTACTTAATATATTACAAAATAATCAAAAAACTTTTTTTTAATTTGTACTAATTCTCAAATTCACAATACTAAAAAATACTTACCTAATCATAATAAACGACAACTATTAATTTTATATTTTAGGTTTAATTGAACTATATTTAATATTTTGAGTGTACTAAAATTTAAAACTAACTTGACAATTCTTCCAGGTCTTAAATCAAAATTATTATTTATGATTTTTAACAGCTCTTCCTGAGTTTTAGTAGATGTGCCATAGTGAAAAAGTGTAATTGATATTGGCTCAGCAACTCCAATTGCATAAGATACCTGATTCCAATTAATTTTAAAATAAAATAACTATAAATTATTATATATAACTATTTTAGATAAACATAACAAATAACATACTTGAACAAGACAACGTTTACAATGGCCAGACTTGACAAGAGATTTAGCAACCCAACGTGCAGCATATGCAGCTGATCTATCAACTTTAGTGAAATCCTTGCCCGAAAATGCACCACCTCCATGAGCTCCCCAACCGCCATAAGTGTCGACAATAATCTTTCGACCAGTTAAACCTGCATCGCACTAAAAAAAATAGAGTAAATATATCACAATTCTTATTACTAAAGAGCGGATTTAATTGATATTGCAACTTTTTATTGATACCCAGTAAATCAAATCTGATCAAACATGTATACGAAACAGATTAATTACAGTCTTCCTATTTAATTTAATAATGCAATTTTTTGCAATTATTGCAACTTTTGTATACTTCACGTGATAAAATATACAAATTATTATTTCCAAAGTGATTTTAAATAAAAAATATAACTATGACATACTTTTATACATATACTTTTACAAGAAGTTAAATGTAGTTAAGAATTTTTAAAATTATATTTATCTTGGTTATCCACAAAACTCACAAGTTTAGAAGAATCAAATTATCAATTACTTAATAGTTTAAACATATTTAGTATAAATACTAAACAAATACTAACTAAATAAAAATATTTAGTATAAATATTTCTATAAATATTCCCGTTCCCAATGGAATAATAGTTAAAGATAAATTAAAATGTTATAGAATAAAATGAAGAATATAAAACTATTAAAAATTACTCTGAGATTATGACAGGAAATCAAAATGTTTATTTAGATACGTCACCCAAGTTTTTAAACTATTTTAAATATGCATCGATAACAAGTATTGACGTTGAACGTACTTTTTCATTATATAAACATATTTTAAGTAACAGACGATACAATTTTTAAGAACACAATTTAGAGATGTATATAATTATAAATTTTAATTCAGAAAAATTATATATTTTGTAAATATTATATTGATGTCCATAATATTATTTAAGTGAGTAATTAATGATTATATATTTGATATGATTTTACTATGTAATATTAATGTATTTCATTGCAATTTTAATATATTTATACTGCAATTTTGATACATTTTCATTGAAATGCTGGCATTTTTAAGTGCAATTTTAAGATATTTTTAACGCAATTATATCCAGTCTTTACTTATTACCAATAGGACTTATTCGCATACTAAATACATTTTTAACCTAATAAAAGATGAAGAAGAAAAATATTATATTTTCTAAATTATAAAACTCTGTGAAGTATTTTATATTTTATTAAATCATTTAACACATTTTAGATAATTAGGAATTAGCCTGATACGAAATATATTAAAATATATGTTTAATTTACTATGAATTTCAGAGTTATAGATTAAGACCCATAGAAAAAAATATTTTTTCTATAACTATTGATAGTAAATAAGTCATAAATTAATAAAATGTGCACATACGAGTTATGTTTGTTATTACTAAGCTTAGGGACTTCTAGAATTTGCATACTTTTTTTAATTATTGTTAAATATAGCAGAGTGCAAAATAAATTTGTTTCTCGGTGCCATGATATCAGATCTCAAATTTGAATGTGCATATTTTTGCATATTTAATAGATTTTGCAGGAGAGTGCATATTTTAAAATGTTTATGCTTATTTTACATATTTTGACAAATTTTCAAATTTAAAATTAAAAAATATGGATATATATTTCAACCTATCGAAAGAAAAATATATTAAGAGGACTTAATACTTCCAGTAATATGCTACTTGCAAACTACTTTTCATATCTCGTTATAATTTTCGTATAAGTATAAATAATACTACACACTTGCATCGACCGTATAACCCGCTAGATATCGACCGGATGTCGATAAAGATAATAGTTGATATAGAATAATAGATTATTTGTTTAGTGTCCAGTTCAGTTGATTGTTATCCAGGGCCGTAGCTAGGGGGTGGCAAGAGGTGACTACGCCCCGGGCGCAATTCTTGGAAGAACGCAAAAATGAAAATCTTGCGTTTAATGTTAAAAATTACAACGGTCAATGTCATATTTTATTTACAAAATTATTTAACAGCTTTCATATTATAATCAAAACAATCATCGAAAATAATATCTAATAAGCGTAATATTTTCAAATTGAAAATACGTAAGGGCGCATTTTGAAGTTTCGCCCTGGATGCAATGTTTGGTTACTACGGTATTGTTATTATTCGTCGTTGTTTTTGCATTTCGCAACCACACAACGTCGAATCATACGTAAAACGTCGTATGCGTATATTTTATAATATTGTGTAATGCCGAAAGTACAACAGTCTACGAGAAGCCGATTACAAAGTTTTGTTTCGGAGTGAAAGATACATTTACATCCGATGAACACGTTTTATTTTGTGTACTACGAGGTCATTTTTTTTTTAATGCATATAAATGCATATTATAATGCATATTTTAATGATTTTAGAAGCATATTTGCATTCATATTTGTGTATTTTTTAGAGCTATAACTCCCTAAGCCTAGTTATTACTACATTATATATTACTTGTGGACCACCCATCACAAAAGGACCACATGGATTTATGTGGAAAATTGTTTTTTCATCAAGATACTTTTGTGGTATCACTTTCTTCACAACTTTGGACATAACTTCTAGTCGTAAGTGTTCTAGAGTTATTTCTTCAGAATGTTGAACAGATATAACAACCGTATGAACTCTTAATGGAATACAAGCACCACCAACCAAGCCGTATTCACATGTAACCTAGACAATAATATTATAACACATACATTTTATAGCTGCATTTATAAAATTTAGAAAAAGAAATAACTGTAAAGTACAAATATCATATGTATTTTAATAAACAGGACTTGAAACTTAAAATACTAATTATAATTGAAAAATTTCATCTGAAAACATAAATATTTATTTCATATTAATCAAAAAATGGAGTTGTATTATACTCGGTTCAAAAACCAAATTTATATAAATCTTAAATATTGTGTAATTAAAAATTAAAAAAATTAAATAATTACATTAAAATTATTCTCTTATGATATAACTTAAATGTTATTAAAAATTAAAATTAGAATATGTTCTTACAATAAATTACCAAATACGACATAAAATGCTTATGAATATAATTAGTTGATATTTGAGTCAAGTAATAATAATCAAGAAAATATATAATCTATATTTAAAAATCTTAAATATGATAATAATAATAAAAAAAAATCTGTGTAATGTGTTAAACAACACTTTCATCCGTGACATATTACATTTAGACAATAATTATTAACAGAACAATATTTAGTTTCTTTGCTGAGTCAATTAAAAATAAAATCGTATTTTTCTTTTTCATAAATATCTCATATCATAAAATGAAAATTTGTAAAATCTAATGAATTTAAATTACTATCCAAAAATAAAATATAATGGTTAATAGAAATATTTTTAAATTTTCTTCTGACCATTGGATTAGAACTTTTAGGCCCTCCGTACACGAGGCGATTGTAACGCGACACGATTTATGTAATATATGTGATACGAGCGATTTCTTATCATAGTTGATAGGGATTCACTAACGACGCAATTTAATAACGACGCGATTGCGACGCGAGAAACGTCACAAACCGACAGTGCTGATCGCTTGGCAGTCGCGTCACACGAATCACGCGTAATTACATTTTTATTTTCGTCATATATCATTTATTTATACATCATTTTAACTATGGAGGCATTCAATGTTAAATTCGTTGGTCAAATTGAAATTGAAATTTCTTCTTCACTCACATATTCTCTCATGTTGGTATTCTTCTGATAAATGGTAGGAGATATAATGTCTACAATTTCTTTGCAGGATTCCTTTGACATTCTGTAAAATGCTACAAATTTAACGTCGGTTTCCTGAAGTTCTCTAGCCGAAACATCCAATTCATAGTCGACAGAGGTTATTTCTTTGAATATAAGGATGAATCCTAAATTTCCTTCTATGATCTTTTCTTGCTTTTTTTTTACCAACCAACTTTTTGTACAAATAGTACGTAAAATTTTTTTCTTCGTCACTAGATGAACTCAACATTTTAAAAAAGGTAATCAAAGAATCGAGCAAACATCAGTAAACTCATAATAACCGAATAATAGATAAATAACGATAATAATAATCGCACAACAATCGCATCGTGTGCACCCCCATAATAGCACAGATTGCTTGTATCGCATAAATCGCGCAAGAATCGTCTCGTATGCGGAGGGCCTTAAAGTATGAAATACCAAACCTCTTTTAGATAACCAACTTAATGTATTTTATTTAATTACCTGTGTTTTTGTATCAGGACGTGCCCACCAAAGTAATTGGTTTCTTCGAAGTTCAGCTATTTTTTCATTAAGTTTGTGAGCTAATACAACAGTTAAAGGCATACATTCTTCAGTTTCATCAGTAGCATATCCAAACATAAGACCCTAATATAAAATAATGAATATTTATTAAGTAAAAATTTAGAAACTATTAAAAATAACTTAAACAGACAATATTTTAATTAATTTATAACTAAAAAAATATAAAATATGTTGGCCTTGATAAATATTAAAATCAAATTCTCAATAAAATATTGATTCTTCCTTAGTACTATCTCTTATAAATTTAAAATTCCATTCTGGCACCATATATCATTCCATTCCTTTCCATATTAATTGCTCTAATTCAAATGTTGAAAGTTGAAAATTCATAACTAGATTGTCTTATGTGAATGTCATAAACAATCCTAACAACAATCCCTCATTTTTACCCCTTTTATTTATTTTAATCTGATGTGTATTACAAGTTAATATTGTATTGTTTATTACATTAAACTGTTTTAAGTTTGTCCAATAGATAATAGAATAATCATCAATTAATAAAAATATCCCTAAAAAATAATTAAAATATTTTTACAAAAAAAGTAATATTCTAATAATTATATGATTTGGAATATAAATAAAAAAGGGCGAGACTCCTAGGTCAGACAATATTTCACAAACTGGTGTAATACTCGTACATAGAGAAATGAATGTTATTACTGTATTAGACTATTAAACTTAAAACTAATTTACTATTTCTCAAAAAAAAAAAAAAAAAATGATTTTGAGTAAAAAGTTTATATTTTTTCTCAAGATTTTTGATATAGAAAAATAATTAAAATTCTTAATAAGGTAGGTTGAATGTTTAAACTTTCATAAAAAAAAAAAAAAAAAATTAAAAAAAATATGTATATTATATCAAAAAAGTCAGTGCACAACTATGAAAAGTCTTTGACTAAATGACTAATATTGTTTAATGGAAATTTGTTGAAACATCAAATTTTGTCAACATTTCATTTTTTAACACTTACTTACATTTATTTTAAATCAAAAGAAAATATACCTGATCTCCAGCTCCAATTTCCTCAGTAGCCCTATTGATGTGTACACCAGCAGCAATATTTGGTGATTGTTGATCAAGTGCTAATATCACCGAACATGTTTTATAATCAAAACCTGACAACCCAATAGTAGAAAAACATATATATTATTACTCAAGGAACTATTAGTAAAACAATTTAAAAATTTAACATATCAATCTAATAATACATATTTTTAAAATAGCCTAAACAATGAATAATAATAATAATAATAATAAAATAAAAAATTTATATAAAATAATTGTATTAAAAGTAATTTCAAGCAAATCTTAAAGTAAAAAAAAATTTTTTTTTTATTATTATACTTATATGATGTCGTTGATATAGAATGATGAAATCTCCAAAATGTATTGAAAATGAAATAAAATAATTGAGCATGATAAAAAAACAGGACAATTTAGCAAAATCTCGATTTTGTAATTGAGAAACATAATTTACTGTATGGTATTTATAAAATAGGTTATTAAGAGAAAAACAATAAAGTATAAATATTATTTCAAATGCAAAATAAAATTATATCGATTTTAAAAATAGTAATTGATAATAAATATAAACAAAATATGATTACTTTAAATATTAAAATGTAAAACATTTCATAAAAAAATTACTGAAAAATATTAGAAATTAAAAACTATAATTTTTTTAAGAAAAGTTGATTAATACATAAATAAAGAAAACTATTTTGTATTCTGGTTAGTTAATTGTTTCTAATGGAAATTAAAATTAAAAATATGTGAACCAAAAATATTACTAACTGGCGATCAAGGAATATTAAAATTAACTGAAAAATGGAAAGAATTTTACTGATGATACTTGTGAAGTGTTAAGTTATAATTGCTAACAATACATATAATTGGGCTTCAATTACCAATTAGAAAAGTATTTGTATATAATTCACCAAGTAATAAGATAAAGGAAATATTTTTAATCGGCATCCTGGTGTTTCACATGGTCTTTACCATAAAGGAATGCTTCCAACCGTTATTGAATTATTCGTTACTTGATCACTTAAATTTCAAAAGGACCTCACCAGTTAAAAAAGATTTAAAATTGCTGCATTAAGGCATGAATTAAACATAAAATATTTAACATGTTCGCTGCGTACAACGCCAATTGGCGTCAGTAGCGTCACTCTCCATGTGCGATCGACGCCAATTGGCGTCATCTGATATACCGATTATTATGTGCTTATATTCCGGTCAGCGTTAGAACCTGTGCACAAATTTTTGGTCGGCGTTATCTACAAACATTTTTAAACATAATATTGAAAACCGTTTCTAAAAATAATCATTTGTTTTCTATTTACATATGATTCAATAATATTCCCTATTACCTACTTTTATCATGTTATTTCAATTTACATGGACAATTTTTATAATAGCATCGATTTAGCTGAACAATTATTACAAAAAAAGACATATTGTACGGGCACATTAAGATCTAACCGAAAACGTATTCCTGAGGTCGTAGTAAAATTGAAAATTAAAACCCGGGGAAACAAAAGCAATGTACTCTAATGGCGTATTGGTTGGTAAATGGAAGAACAAACGGGATGTTATATATATTTCTACCGAATTAAAAAATAATTTGATACTTACAAAAAATAAAAAGGGTCAGGAAAAACTAAAACCAGAACCGATTGCAAATTATAATAAATTTATGAGTAATACTGATCAGTAGGACCAAATGAACAGTTATTATCCATTTTTGAGAAAAACTGTTCGTTGGTACAAGAAGATAGGATTACATGTGATCCAAATGCTATTATTAAATTCTTATAATTTATACCTATGATTTTCGGGTACTCGTCCAATATGCTAATATGCTATCTACCATAAATATTTTATCTACCATAATTTGATGATAGTTTAGTATGATATCTACCGTAGGTTCATATACTGTATATTATATATACTTTATTATTTTGCTTTTATCATAATTATGCTTTTACAAAACCCCAAATTGCATTATATTTAAACCTAAGTAGGTTAGGTAAGTTAGTAGGTATAGCATTATATTATACCTGTTTAGTGTGTGTTTTGCAAGGGAAAATACATGGAAAAAGAGGCCCTGGCAGAAGAAGAAAATCATGGTTTCATAATCTAAGGAATTGTATGGAAAGAGCTCATCAAAGTTGTTTCGCGTCGCAACCAATAAAGAGAGCATTGCTGAAATGGTCGCCAACATTCGAAATCGGATAGGATTTAGAAGAAGTGTGTTTGTGACTAGTGATGTTAAACTGTGAAAAATATTCATCATACTGTGATATTGCTACTGTGATAAAAAAAACATCACAGTGAAAATAATAGTGATTAAATATATATAATATAATATAATATAATATATATAATATATATCACGACTAAATAGTAAATAGAGTTAAAATACTACTCTATTTACTATTTAGTCGTGATATCAGATAATATTTACCAAATGTAAATGTGAAATAATATTAATCATTATTTATTACCTATGAATAATGACTAATATAATAAATTAACAAATAATATAATATCAATAAATATCTATCTAAAATCACGAATTTGTATATTTTAATATTTGTAATTTTAATGAATGGTATTTTATCTAAAATATATTATCTATTAATAAAAATATTACATTATATTTCAATCCATGTTTTAACTATTTATTATTAGTAAACCATGCTCTATGTAGTAAACTACTTCCATTTCCCACTATTTTTAGTATCTAGTCTTAACATCAATTTATCTACACTGTGATTATATAATGCACACAAATGTATAGTACTATTGTAGTAAGTAGCAACTAGCAATAGTCGCATATCACTATTTCATAAATCATAGTGTTAAATATTTTTCACAGTTGGACAACTTAACAGATTTGTGATATCATCACAGTATAATAAAATCACTGTTATATTATGTATGAGTATTAGTCACAGTTATTGCTACTCATTGGGTCACTGTGAAAAGTAGCAGTGACTGCTACTTTTTAACATCACTATTTGTGACTCGTATCGATTATATATGTTTTTACTGTGATTTATTTATTATTATTTATTAATTATTATTATGAGTTTGTTAACTATGAGTTATTTATATCGAAAATATATAGTTTTATATCTATTTGTATCTATAATTCAAAATTAAAATATATGCGAAAAATGTTTAAGCATACGAGGTTTATTATCAATCGAGCAAACATGTACAAAAATTAAAAACCAAACAATTTGTGGTGGTGAGTTGAATAAAGTTCTTAAAAAAAATCATTCCTCAGAGCGATCAGAAATTCGTATACATAACTACACAGTAGTTAAAATATTTACGGTAGATAGCATACTAAACCATCAAACATGCAGTAGATAGTATATTGGACGAGTACCGATTTTTGTTTGTCTATTCTTAGTGAACTTTTACCAGCATTTCCAAAACCAAGACTAGATGCTAAAAGAAAATACATTCCAAAAACACATGAGATGGGGAAAAACAGAAGGGCACTTCGTAAAAGATGTTGTGTTTGTGCAGAAAATATGGAAAGATACTTCATCTTTCTGTCCAACTTGTTCTTCTTTCATAATGAAAATTTTGCAAGAAAAATTATATTTTTCAAATTATACTTTTCGAAAATAATTGGTAACATAATTTTAAATATTGGTTCATTCAAGTATAATATAATTGTTATATAGGTCCAGGAATATAAAATATACCAGAATCTTATCTCGTAACTTAATTTAACTTCAATGCAAAATATCACTTTTAAAATAGGTACATGTGGTCAATAATTTCTTAAATTATAAAGAAAAATGTAACCTAACCTTCCTTAACGACTTACTAGTAAATTGGTCACAATTAGTAGTTATATAGAACTACTTTGGCACCAATTAAACTCATTTTAGGATATGTTTATAACTGTTAAATGCTATTATATTAAAATGTAGAATCATAGATGTTTAAACATTATATAAGACATACTATTAATATACATGACTTTTACCTTTTGATGAATCATCATAGCCTATATGTTTCACAGTGTCTCTGACTACCATTTGGTAGTCAACAATGGCTTTAGATGTTATTTCTCCACAGAGTAATATGAATCCAGTTTTGGTTACAGTTTCTATAAATTAATAAATTAGCATTACAATTTCATAAGAATAATATTATAGTAGGTATAAATGTTAAAAAAAATTGTTCATATTATGATTATGGAATGATATCAAAAGCTCGCAATAAAATATAAATACAATTTTCTTCAGAATAATAAAATTGAAAATAATAAAACATTCAGTAAACTCTTAATAATTCAAAATTCAGTGGACCAATCTAAAAGTTAAATTAAACAGATTTTAAAAATTAAATGAGAATTCAAAATATCAAGGAAAAATGAGAAATAATTTGAATAAAAAAGCGTTGAGGGTTTTTATTAAAATATGTATTTATTATTTAAACAGATATTTAATATAACTGATAGGGCTGTTAAGCTATTATCAAGTATAAAAAAAGTATTTCTAAAATGTCCAAGTCGTATTTATTTTAAAACTCTTCAATCAATTATTACCCGTTGGAGAACTTAAATAAAAGATACAATGAAAACATACAAAACATTTGCAATGTCATCAAACAATTTGATATAGATGATGCAGTTTCTATACTTTAGACAAAAGTTTTTTTTACAAAAATCACTGATTTTAAGTTTCATTTTTATAAAACTGAATTTTAAACTTTTGGCCACTACAGTTGAATATTTTGAAAAATAAGGTATAACTTTATTTGGTACAATTAATGTAATAAAAAATACAGAACACAGCCTTAAAAGTAAACAAGACAATAGAGGAAATATTGTGTTTAAAAAATTTAAAAAATGTATACAAAACAATTATGGTTTTGATATACTATATACAATTTTCAAACATTTTAAATGGAGAAGATAATACTATTGAGACAACATAAACATAAAGTTTTATTTGATTTTGGAATACAAAAAATAAGTACATACAATTAATGCTAACAATTTACTAATAATTAATGCAATTATAATTAGTCATAACTTTATAATGATAAGTTATGCAATGATAGAAAATAATAATACTGATCATAAACAATTTAGAACACAGTTTAAATTGAAGTTATTTAAATATTGAAAACCAAAGAGGTATTTAAGATAATTTGTAATTTGTAATTATATCATATTAAATTATGAACATTCAAATTCTCAAGAGATAAATGGCAAAACAGTAAAGAAACCTTTACTAAGTGATAAAAATTAAGTGATAAAAACACAATAATATAGCCCGCCGCGGATGCTTTCCAGATGGCTATCTCATTGTATAAAATGGGCAGCCAACCGGAGAGTCGATCATTTATGTAAAAGACTATTTATAGTTTATATAATATAGTATATTTTTATAAAATACTATTTATTATATTAAATAAAAGATAGCGATGGCCTCAAAGCAATGTGATAAACAGTTCCGAGGTCGTCATCGATTTTCAAAAGCAGGGGATAAAAAAGTGGTAAAAAAATTAAAATAGAATCCAAGAATAGTAGTATGCATTGTATAGACATAGTATCCAAATTCATTTATGACAAGCAAATGTTTTTATACCCATATATTTTTTGAACTCTAAAACAATTTATTTAATTTAGATATACTATTCTGAATATTCTGATTTAAGACATAAACACAAAGCAAGCTCAAGAAAATAATATTAATAATATTGATATGACTTACCACAAGCTACTTTGGCATTAGGATCTTGTTTCAAATGTGCATCCAAAATGGCATCACTAATCTGATCACACATTTTGTCTATTGGAAAACAAAAAAAAAGTAAATAAATATATTTATTTTAATATAATACTTAATAATTGAAAAATTGAAGAAGTACTAATGTCTTCTTTAAAATTTAAATTCAATAATAGCGCCAACACAAAGTGCAATTTATGAGCATACGTATATTTTTATTTCAAGTCCATACACACAGTAGTTATTCATAAGTTACATATATATTATATATTAACACGTGTGGCCGAGGGAATATTGAAAAAAATGTTTATCAGAAATAAAATCAAACCGACAAACGATCTTCATAAATTATGATTATCATCGTTAACTTTTTTTATACATTGTTGAGAACCCGGATTAATGGCAAAGCGACTATTCGACCATCATCTCCGGTCTCATCGACATACCGTATAGCGCAACAATACGTAGGAACCCAATATACATATTATTTACAAGAACAAAATGATTACTCCTGTAAACCTAGCCTCGTATAATCCGATATTTTATCTTACCCGGATGTCCTTCGCCAACAGACTCAGAAGTGAACAGGAACGTCTCACCATTCGGGGTCTCGGATGGCACATTACAGTCGGCGTCTTTGACCACGAAGCCGTTGCTGTGAGCGTGATTATTTACTTCAGTCATGATTTTTTTCTACAGCAGACTGTATGTTGCAATATCGCTCTAGACGCGTAACGAGTAAAATTGACTAGGGAAAAACCGGTAACGGACGGGTAGCGGTGCGCGTGCAATTACGTAGACCGTTGAAAAAAGAAAGAAAAAAAAAATAATGCGCGTTTTTCAACCGGGATAGATAAGCGTATAATTACGTTGGTAAATGGATAGTATTGTAGCAGTACACGAGGCGGTTGGTCGCAACAATAGTAATAATAGTAATAATCGGAGCATAAACAATTAAAAAATGTTGGGACAATGGAGAGTGTGATAACGTCAAGGAGATAGTGACTATGCAAATGGTAATTTGACGGTGAAACTGGTACTTTAACCTGTATGCTGTTAGACTGGTTGTCGGTTCAACGTCAAAGACGACGGCGCGCGCACCAAGCGATCGTAAAAAATTCGACCAACAGGTACTTGTACCGTGTAAACAATGGACAAAATCGTCCAAATCCGACCAGGAGTAACTCGTAATCGACTCGTACGTTGATAATTAATTGATAATTATGAAAATAATGAAAACTGAGCGTTTATAACGCATGTTATTGTAATTATTACGAATGCGGTCCGCGCGTTTTTTTTTTTTTTACGAACAATTGGTGGGTGCCATTGCCCAAAGACGTTGAAAATCCTCGATCCACGGGGAAGATCGATTTGTTCGGATTGTTCACCGTAACACGAAACATCGGAAAAACGGCGGCACACCGTTGACGATATTTCATGATATTCGAAATGCCACACACTACCACGGTTACTTGTTACCACGATGTAGAATAATACTACAGCCGTGCTTTTTACTACTTACAGTGTTGCCGTTAGGTTAGCCACCATCTTAGTATATTCACAAATATATATATACGTAAATATTTACATATATATCTACGTATGTTTTCTACTGTCGCCGGGGAAAATAGTATATTTCAAAATATTATATGCGTATTACGAATATATTTTTCTTTATTGACAATTAATACGTGAGACGATTTCATTCCCAGTATTCGACGAGGAATTTCACTGAATCGGTAAGCATGATTTATCTTTATAAATGCAAATGTTCGGTATATAGATGTTGTGAATCAGCTTAACAAGTTCGAAAACACTACTTATTGTGTAGTTCTATTGTTCGTGAGAAGTAACAAAAAGCGATGCACATATTTATAACCCCCATTTTATTAGCGTCTACAACAGTGGCGGCACCAGAATTTTAATACCAGGTGAGCCAAGCTGGGGCTAAAATTTTTTAGGGAGGGCCAAATTGTTGACTTGATATATATATAAAACAATAGTGATGAGAGGAAATTGTGCAGAGGGAGGAGGGGGAGGGTCAACTTTCAATTTTTCAATCTTTTTCACACTTCATCGTGTAAACTTACTAAAATAATGATGCGTAAACATATATTAATAGTATTTATTTCCTAACAAAATATATATTCATGTAAACACTTTTTAATTTTTATACTCCCTAACCCAAAATTATACTCAATACCAATTATACCATCAAGCATCAATTGTAGTACAATTGAGTTTCTGTAACTATAAAAACATAATTACAAGCATTTTAAACTGACACTAAACATTATATTATGTTATAATACTAATTCAAATAAACAATTCAACAAACATATCTTATTATATATAAAAAAAAAAAAAAAAACAATATAAATATAATATTTTAAGATAAAATAAAAAACAACTGTGTTTAAAGATTAAATTGAACAATTAAAAACTTTTAATATTAATTATTTGTTTACTTAATAAAAATTAATTGGAAATAATAAGAACGATAAGATAATAATATATTATATAAGTACCTGTATAACACATGTAGGTAAGTTAGAAAAACAGCAATAAAATACATAATAATATAAATAATTTATTTTAATAAAATTCTTCTATTGTTATGACACTCAGCAAAAATATTGATTATATCCTCAATATTTAATGATTTTGCTTCAGATTTTTCTATAGCAATTATGCTTAAGCTAGATAGATTGTTGTGAAGCATAGAATTTCTCAAATATGATTTAATTATTTTCATACATGAAAAAGTTCTTTCGCATGCTGCTGAAGATACAGGTATTGTAATTGTAATCGTACATAATTTGTATAATTCAAAAAATGCTGGTTGATAATCCAATAAAAATTTATGAAATTGAAAAATAGTTTTTATAGAATGGTATTTTAATTCAAATTGTTTTATTGATTTTCTAATAATGTTTAATTCAGAATCTAAAGAATCAATATCACACATATAAGCTAAAGCAAATGGATGAATATGATTTTTATCCAAAAAATTACTATTTCTTGGGTCCATTACACTAGTTCCCATCAATAAATCTTCGTTATTAGAAAATCTTTTACTTAGTTCAGCATTGATTTTATCTAATATAATTTAATAAAGGTTTTTTTCAAAAATCAGTTTCTGAACTTAATACTGAACTTTCCAATGAACTACCTTCAACTATAAATTATT